TATTTTTGTGTGTGTGTGAGGAAGATCAGCCCTGAGCTAACATCTGCCAATCCTCCTCTTTTTGCTGAGGAAGACTGGCCCTGAGCTAACATCTGTGCCCACCTTCCTCCACTTTATATGGGACACTGCCACAGCATGGCCTGACAAGCGGTGGTCTGTGCGCGCTGGGGACCGGAACCCGGGCCGCCAGCAGCGGAGCGTGCGCACTTAACCACTACGCCACAGGGCTGGCCCCTCTCCTTTCCTCCTAACTCCATACTGTCACATTTCCCTTATACCACCCATTACTAACATGTCTCCTTTGTGTACCACTTGATTTCTGCCCCCTTTTAATGTTGGTAAAACCCAAGTCCTATCTTTCGTCCTTTGTTCTCACTCCCTGAATGATCTCAACCAATCCAGCGGTTTCAACCATGCCTTTCATTCAAGTGATTCCCACATCTCCACACCAGCCCAGACCATGCCCCTGAGCAACAGGGCTTGATACCCAACCACCTACTGAACAACTCTCTGAAAGGCGCCCTCTCCAGAACCCAGCTCTTTATCTTGTCTTGTTCCCATGCCTCCTCATGGAGGTTAGAGGCACTCTCTTCTAACCAAGCCAGAACCTTTCATTCCCTCACCCTCCACATTCACTTACTATCAATTCTATCTTCTAACATGATGCCCTCTTTCCATCTTCACTGCTACTCCTTAATTGAGGTCTGTCATCCTTTACCTGGTCTATTGCAATTGCTCCTAGTAGGCTCACCTCTTTCTATTTCCCACCCCTCTAATGTGGCCTCACTAAAGTATATTTTATTACTCTTGGTTTTTAAATCCTTCTACTGCTCCCCATCACCTACCAAATGAAGAGCAGCTTCTCAGCATGACATAAGATCAGGCTTCTGCCTGCCTCTCAGACTCATCTCTCATTCAGCTCCTCGTAGCGCACTGTACTCCAGTTATAACCAATTATAACCTAATGCTGTTTTGTGTTTCTGCCCTTTTTGAATCTGTGCTCTACACTAGAAATATCTTTTCCCCCAAACTAGCCCACGCTCTTATCTGACCCTTGTCTGCTTGGCAAATTCCTGCTCATCTTTCAAGTCTCACGCACTTCCTCTGTAGGGCCTTTTCTGATCCTCCCCACTAGATCTGACTGCCCCTTTCTTTTCTAATGGCACCAAATCACTTCATTACAATTGTCTGTTTACATAGTCTCATCCTCACCCAATTAAATTTATATTTTTTTAATTTGTAATTTCATATCTTCTGACATTTTGCCTGGCACATAGTATAAGCCCAATAAATGTGGAATAAAACTGTTGGCAAAAAGTCATCATTCAGTCAAGATTTAGAGAGACCAGTAGAATCGTGCATGTAGGATTTTAGAGCAGTGAACTACAAATCAAGCTATTTTGTGATTTAATTTTCCAAATTTAAATAATGCATACAAAATCCATTTAGTTCTGTTCTTTACTCTCATGCACTTTCTCTTCTAATACTTGACTCCAACTCTGAATCATCTGTTAGGCTTTATCTCTTTTTCCTCTGGCAGCCCCTTCAAGTCCTATTATTCAATGAGTAAAAAATTCCATTCCATTCAATTCTTGGATAAGCCTATCCTCTGAACCTCTGAAGTCTCACTGTAGACCCTTCCTGAAATATCAGGATCTAGGTCTACTAATCTAGCAATAATCAACTCTCATCTTCAGAGATTTTTTTTTTCCTTTAACTTATATTAATCTTATCCCATTCTCACTATAAATATAGGCAGGTCAGTTTTTTTTTTTTGTTTTGGTTTTTTTTTTGTGAGGAAGATCAGCCCTGAGCTAACATCCATGCTAATCCTCCTCTTTTTGCTGAGGAAGACCAGCTCTGAGCTAACATCTATTGCCAATCCTCCTCCTTTTTTTTTTTTTTCCCCAAAGCCCCAGTAGATAGTTGTATGTCATAGTTGCACAAAGGCAGGTCAGTTTTTATCACCATCATTTTATAAGTGAAAAACAGATGCCAAGAAACCCAGAGGATACTTATCCTTCATAAGTTCCCCCATAAAAAACCTGAGCAATATTAATTCTGTACTTTCTGATGTCCAGTCCTCATATTTTTTTTTCTTTAAACGCCATTTACCAAAATCACATCCTATTGTTGTGCTTCATCTGCTGGCACATTGGCTTCACTTTTATTTCTGTCTCCCAAACTACAGCCTTCCTGTTTGTGCCTGTGTTTCCACCCTGCTGATATGATCACCAGCTGAACATTCCAAAGCAATCATTTGTCTCCCCTTTTCAACGCCATAATCCAATGACTTTGACAAAGGAAGCTGTATGTTGTGAGTTTCACCCCAGAGTCCAATCTTCTGCAAAAATCTTAGTGAAACTCTACCCATAACCCACTTGACTTTTTGAAGGGCCTTTTCTCCAACTCAGGCAATCATAACTAGATTACTCCCAGGCCAATTTGCTGTATTTCTTGTCCTTTTCCTTTCACTGCTTTCCTCTAAAACCAGGCAAGGAAAATGAGTAACTTAGTTAAACGTGACTACTTCTATAAAAACAGTGATAAATGAGGATGAGACTCAAACTACTGGGGCAAATGAGGTTTAGAATTACCTGCAGATCTTTCCATACTCTGCTTCAACATTCTCCATATTTTTAAGGGTTGGCTTTAGTTTCCAGCCTCAGACCTCCTCACTTTAACTGCTCTCATTCTCCTCCCCGCCACATGGTGCTGTCCCTTACAGTGAGGCACCTCCTTTTCTGTTAACAAAGAGTGGAAAGGGATAAACCGGGAGGAGTGGACACAAAATAGTTACTTTAACTGTGCCTTGGTTCACAGGAGTTTGGTCCACATTTCCATAGCTATACCTCAGAGGAAACTCCCTCCCTACCCATAAGCACAAGCAGACCCTTACCCTCAAATCCTGAAAAACACCTCCCCTTCTCAGTTTCCTCTTAAAAATAATGTCAGAGAGAAACGATCAATTCTACAAATTAGCTCAGCTGATTAGACCAGATGCCAAGGAGCAGATTCATCCCCTGAGAGGCCACTTGGCCTCTCCTAGTTCTAAAGGAACCTCTAACTCCCAGTCAATCATCTTACAACTGTTTGTCAGTCATCAGGAAGAATATAAATGGATCTGTGCATCGCCACTTCTAAAAACACAACTAGCCACAGGCAGGCTCAGTAGCATCCTCCCATATATTTTATTTATTCCCATTTTCAGAGGGAAAGTTCAAACTTGAGACCTCAAGGGATTGAGTCCCATGCAATTTCTAAAGACAGTGCAACGAGGAGCTGGGATTAATTGAACACAGGCTTCCTGAACCTTCTGTCATCTCCCTGCCTGTCATTTCAATTTTCCTGTCTTAGGTTGCAGAGTCTTACCCCATTCTTTCTGGGTATACATGTGTAGAACACGTGCTCGTCTAAAGGATCAGTCTAGTTGTAGTGACCAAAAGCATCACCCCCCAGCCCTGACTTTCACCTGTTTCAAGTAGATTCTTCATTACTAAGGATTAATGTTAAAAGAAGTTTAACACTTTTCACTTCAGAAGAGAAATATGTCTGCACATTGGGGCTGAGGGTTAGAGGCAGGGTTTAAAGTTTGTCCTGGTACAATTGTTCAACTTGAGGATGTCCAAGAAGCAGCTTTTCTGTGGAAACCTGGAAGAATGGATAATCCCAGGTGATTAATACCAGTAAACTCTGAAATTAAACACAGCTGTTTGCTGTGATGTCCCCAATGACAACACTACTGTGTGCTCGCACACATGCCTTCCATCTGATGCTCTTTCATTTCCGTCTGTCTTGGGACTTGTACTGTGGGAGAGGAAGATGAAATTCATGGATGACAGACGATGCTTAGAATGCAGATATTCTATACTTCAAGCCTGAGCAAAATTCAAAAGTGACAGCATCATACACAACAGAACAGGGTCTGGCCTTTCTTCCCAGAGGGGCAATGGTTAGCTAACCTATTTTTGCTACATAAATTAAAATGACCCATCACCCTGACTCCTAGCATTCTTCCAAAAACAGTATCCACTCTTCATACCCTCCCCAACATAATCACTCAAAGTAGGTCAGAAATGTGGCTTCCTTCCCCTCATTGATTTTCATTAAGAGGATGAACTTCTGGAACACTAAAGAGAAAGATAAACATCCAACATAAGTACCAATGACAACCCCTGTAAATTTTTGGCACACTAAGTCCAGTTCCCCTAAAAGCAGAAAAAAATCCCATCACCCATAATTTATCCTTCTTGGCTGTACATCAACAATAATCTCAAGCTATAAAACACACAGTCGCAGCAACACTTCACCCAGATGATGAACACCTCCCAAAAGGAGCATATTCACTCTGTCTTTTCTAATTTTCTAGATCACCAACCTGCCTCTTCCCTAAGTACACACTTTTTTTCTTCCTAATTCATATCCTTATTGTGCCAGAAGGATGCCAAATGACACCACACACTGGGCTTAGCAAATCCCCAGGACCTTATCAGGAAGCTGAGTGCAGGGGAGTAGGAATAAGGGGTTTGTAGAGACAGGGGAGTGGAAAGGGGGGGAGGGGAGGAGCGGGAAACCCTTCTGTGGCAGTATCTGGCTCTCTGGAAAAGCTGTGAAGAGGCGGGTCCCCAGATCCCACTGGCGGGGCTTCCCCAGTCTCCTCCCCTTGCTGAAATCTTTTCCTCGGCCCCAGGTCCTCAAGCCTAGCACTCCAAAGAGGGCGCCGCAAAGTCCTTCAGAGCCCTGAAAACACACGAGCGCAAACAGAAAAGCATCACCCGAAAGACAGCAAAACCACACAGCCTCTCCCATCCAGCTTCCCGGGGCAGGCAACTTCATCTCTTGAAACAAACGAAAACCTCTGTCCTCCAAGGAAGGAAAGAGGCGATGGCAGGGAGCAATAAACAGACGCCACCCTCACCCCTCATCCTCCGCTCCCTCCTCTCCCTTCCCCCCGCCCCCCCCCCCCGCAAACTCCAGGTAAAGGACCAGGTGCGGCTCACCTCCTGGCAAGGAGGAAGCGGGCGGCTGGAGGAGGAGGGCAGGTCCCCAGCCCAGGCCGCCTGGCAGCCGGCGAGCGCCCAGCAGCAAATCCAGGCGGGGCTCC